AAATGCCAGTACTGTCAGCGCGGAATCTTCGTTACGATTTCACAAGAGAGCATTATCTTGGGTGCACGCCCCTTTATATGTGTTGTGCAACGAGACTACATAGTAACTGTCTTACACGCTACTTCCATTACGCACACACGCTCGAAAATAAACCACTATCTCAGAATGTATCCAATCCGCGAGTTCGACGCGAGATCGAAACGACGCTCGTATCGTTACCGGGAACAACGACCAGCAGAAATGATATCGGTCGCCATGGCAAGGATATCTGACCTTCTCCGGTGAAAAGCAGCGGGAGGTAGGAGGAGGAGGGGGAGGGGTGCGGCAACCGGATATCATGAGACGACGACGCTTTAACGATAGCCGGCGTCTTCTTGTAGTGAGTCATTAAACCGGGTGACCCACGCGGTTATCGCGGTATAACGTGACGCGGGCGCTGGTAACGAAATTAAGGGCACAAACGGTTTAAAGTCGGGTAGATACGACGATGAAGTCTACGAACGAAGTGAAAGATGCCATTGCCGCCGCTGCTGGTGTGCTACTGCCGACACTTTCATCGAGCCCCGTTCGCGCTGATACGCCGACAAATAATAAAAGGACGAGCGCCGCGGTGGGGTCGTTAACGGTACGAGCTAGCGAGAAATTATGCCGGTCCTTAATTAAATTTCTCGATCCCATTGCGTTATCGTGCGGCGCGGCATGGTCTTGGCGGACGACGAAACGACGCTCAAACTGTCGTTATCGACATAACTGTTGGTCAGGGCCTGCTGGCAATCGACATCGCTTACCACCTTAGCGTGAAACCCTCGATAATTACGGTGTACAGACGCGTGGAAGGGTCTTTCACACCGCTCCCATACGCCACGCCCCGCTGATTTCGGGTCATCCATTGACCCGCACGTATCTGAATTTCTCAATAGAGAGATTGATAGAGATGTGTTCTACCGCGTAATAACGTGATGTAGATATTCTCGCGTATGTATATTGGCAGGCTACTGACAATGCGACATATTGCTTGTTAGCCCGATAACAACGTCAGCATTGATATCAAGTAAATACCTCCATAAAGATAAAGACTTCTTATCTACTAAACCATGTTCGTCGCGTTCGTCGCGTCACAAATTTAAAGTTGACAAGTATACATAATTCTACATATTTGTAATATTTTTAATCTTGAAAAATATTGCAAGCTTTGCTAATCTTGTTTTCATTCTCTGTACATAATAAAAAATAACGATTAAATTACTTAATTATTTTCATCAAAAAATTGATATGTAATAGAATAAAATTTAAATTTTCGATTTTTAGCACTTTTTGTATTGTATTTTATATTCTGTGTTCCGTGTAACGTCAAAATTAATTGAAAAATCTTTGTTTTCTAGCGAAAATCCAAATATAAGCTTCTTTGCATATTCGTTAACGGAATAAACGGAATTTCAATTTCCAACGTATGTTTCCTTCTGCATCGCCTACTTTGTTTATTTGTATCATCAAACCTCCATCATACTACTCATCGCGGAAGACAAATAGAAACTATTTCACAAACGCTGCAAAAGTTTTTGTTTTGCACGCTCTAGTGAAATAGTAACCGCGGACAAACAAGGGGCACTCTTTCAAAGAATAATTTCACATGCAGTCGACAACGGCTTCGTGCGCGAAAACATCGAGAGTGGAGAGCAAGATCGATACCGAGACACTGACAAGAATGTTTTCTTGCGCGTCAATGGAAGAGGCAAGACCGAGATAGAAGATTTAAGGCGCGAAAGAGATGGCTTCACCTCGCGATAATGATAGATGGAAACTTCTTCGTATAGCCTCCATCACGTGGACCGATAAATTATCGTAGGTCGGCGCAGCAAAGGAGTGAAGCTTCCTCATAGAAGACTTAAGGCAGGTCAGCGCCGTCGTGTGGAAAGCTGATAGATTATATAACGGGCGAAGAAGCCGCGGAAGAAACACGGGGAAATCGATCGAGCCAGTAAGTGGCAAAGTTTGCCCGATTTCGATGTCTATTAATTCTATCAGGTGAATCGACATCTCAACGAAAGGCCGAGCCGATTCCGGGAATAAACGATGAGCGGATCGGTGCGAAGTGCACGGTGTCGAAACTGCGCAGCGTCACGTGGCCGTACAATCATTAGCGAGGAAGACAGATGGGCTAATAGCGTTCTCCTGGCACGACCTCGTTTCCAAAACTCATCGCGGACCCTCGTTTGCTCGAATGGCCGGGCACGATAAAGGGACGATAAGACCTGCGCTTTCGCGAGGCTCGTTTCTACTACTCAACTCTCAGCGTGGAAATTAATATCCATCTTCGACGGCTCTTTACTGTCTACAGAATGTATCTTGGGTATACAGTATATGCTGATGCAATTAATTACATAATGTCAGCGACTAATTGGCGTTATCGAGTCGCACGTTTAACGCTATAGCTATACCGTATGACGATGTTCACTTTGACATGTACGTCATAATATGCGTATTAATAGCTCTCCAATTAAGTAGAAGTCATCAGTGTCTTGTGTCATCTCACATCTAGCGTATCCTTAATTATAAATTAATATGCTGTTTTCGAACTATGCAATTAACAAAGAAATTTTAGCCTGTGATTGTTACAGTTTCAGCCGCAATCTTTTCCTTCGTCTCATCATTGGATACCAGCATGTCGAATGTAACAATCAGGAAGCATGAAAGTCGTCACGTCTGAACGGCTCGGTTAAACGGCCCGTCGATGATGTAGCGCGGCGCGCTCACGACATGGGAACGAGATCGACGGGCAGCCACAAAGGCCCCCACGGAACCGTGCGAAAGCATCAACGTAGGAGCCCGACGGTTGCTTCAATATTACATACACACGTACGTACACATACACGCGAGCACGAAGACAGCCACAGAGGACCGGAAGAAAGTATCTAGTTAGCGCTTAATCTCCGTGGTAGCAATGAGCCGCGGCAAGACCTGCAATTTTCGGAAAGCTATACATCGAGAGCTCGCAATTACAAATTAATAAACGGTCTGCGATGCCTCGCGGCCCCCTTCCGGCATGATTTATATTCCACCGCGTACGCTAATTACCTCCGTTGACCCGGCGCATTCCCTTTCTCCCCGCGCCGGTCTACCGCCGCGCCGGGCGAGTGTAAAGTTCAGCGAGCAGGTAAACCACAAAGTTTAAACAACATCGGATGCGTTCGGCGAGCACCCTGCGAGAACCCACCCTGTCACCGCCCTTTCCTCCCCCTCTCCCCCTCCCCCCTCCCACACCCCCTTATTCCGGCTGCTGTTTTGTCCTTGCCGGTGTTCGCCCTATTCTTGACGGGTTTGTCATTTGTCATAGCACGCCCGGGGTCCTCCCCTTCGCCCTACGACGAATCCTTTGCATAACCATCGGGACCTGCCTCTCGACACATGCCATCGGAAAACTTTGCTCCGGCAGGCGCGTTGCGTTGCGTCGCACCGCACCGCATCGCTGCGCGCTACGTTCTGCATATCAAACGTGATGTCATTTTCTGTCGCGTTCCTCACCGAGGTCGAAACGCGCACAAAAGGAATTGACATAGAAAGCGTCGAGAGAGTAAAAATGATCGACAGTCTCACTCAAATCACGCCTTTGATGTGATTTTGACGCACGGGAATCGATCACAAGATTGAACGCAATCAAATGATTTTCTGCTTTTGTTTCTTTTTACGCGATACAATTTTGTCGCAAACGTTTATTACAAAAATGCATACTTTTACTATTCGATAAATACTTAAAAACGTCACTGTTTTTATTTTTCTATTTTAACAGTAAATTTATATTCAAATAAGTAAATGTTTCAATTGTGCCATTGCATTTCAGTGATCATAAAAAATCTCTCAGAATTACTCAAAGATATTAGAGAAAATCCAATAAACTATTATATCTCTGAAAGATATGTATCTCTTCAATATTTCCATGTTACAATAAAAAATGTTTTTGAATTGCTACTGGATTTGCGTAAAGTTTCAAATTCTTTTTATGTCATGGATTACCAAATTTTTTTACACTGACATATAGCTAACGCCGACACGAGGGTTGAAAAAGACACGTTCAATGATGACGACTATTGTGAAATTATCAACGCCATACAGCAATGTCAACCGATAGCGGAATAGAAATATATAAATTCTCTCCACGCTCACGCAGCCTGGCTATTTTACACTGGCATTACGATCGATCTAACAAACTATTTAGCAAACATTTTTCGAATATCGGCGCGTCGCTGGAAGCTATCGCGCTATATATGCATCCACTATAAAACGCGATTTATTACGATATGTATGAGGGAGCGTGATATCGCGCATGCTAAGTACCCACCGGGAAACGTAGAAAAATATTCGAATAAATGGGGCAGATGTATTAGGCCATTGTTTCAGAGACACGTATCGCCTGCACACGAATGCGTGACAGACAGGATTGCAAATTATCGCCTTTAAAGACGCGTTATCGGAATAACATCTCCGCTATAGGGATATTGAGCGTGCGTGACGCAACGGAACAGTTGACTGTCAGAGGTGGAAATAATTGAGCGTAAAATACATACAAATGGTATCAATTGTGGTCGAGCGTATTGTAAGCACGAAACGTATGCGATATTAAATTTCTATAAGATATATACGTTGATACGTTTGCGCTATATGCCAGGAGATACCGGATATTAAATGCATTCTTATCGTTCCAATAAATAACTTCTACGTGTGCTTTCTCGATGCTTAGTATGCGGTTATAACGTAGAATTTTACGATTAACGTATTACTCTAGTTATTTTTATTGCGACAGATATCGTCAGAATATCTTGATTCGACTCGCATGTACGTAATTATTATTGACATGCGAGAAGATAATATATTAATATCATCACTCTATCCACTTAATGTCTTTATTCACTACCAGATAGTGTAAATATTGACAAATGAAAAGACAACTAGTAATAACAATATTTTGTGTATAATTACGCAAACATATAAATAAATTTACTCACCGATTGTTGTACCCTAGCTAAGTACGCTTTAAGCTGCACCTGGAGAGATTCATATGTATTTTAGTGAATTATCATACATTTCATATGTGTTTATATTATTAGGCATTATTTAATTATTCTCGCTTTGATTTAAAACAATAATATAAATCGCGTAAATAATTATCTAATAATTTTCATAAATATTCAATAAATTGTTTAATAAATATTTTAATAAACGTTTTCAAACATCTTATAATAAATATTTAACAAATAATTGTAATTGTGCATGTGAATGTTATGCATATTTATGCATATATTAAGGTTATGAACAAATAATTATACTCACCAGCTAGGGCATTGCAGTTTGCTTTAGGTGCTGTAGATTCTGCCTTATATTGGATCCATATCAACTCCATCAAAGAATCGAAAATCCGCTCACAAGTTACTTGTACATTGTCGAATCAAAATCTATTCACACACACACACACAATATCGAAGCAACGCAGAAATCATGGATTTACATCAAGGATTTGTCACGGAAAACGAAATGCAAACACGAAATACAAAAACATACTCTATGTCGCAACGCGGCCACGCATATAATAGACAATAACATAACCTTACAATTCGGCAATTTACTCGACACTGTACACTGTACGCACACTCGGAGCAAACAAAATAGACGAGTGTTTTGGCGGTCACAGAGGATCATCAAATATAGACACCTACAACACAATAAATACTATGTTTTATCGAATTCAATTCCAGCGAGCTGGATTTCCAATATGCTACATCTCTAATAAGAAATACATTGCGTATTGAGGTGCGCCTCTTGGGCGCGCTTATATAGCATATTTTCGTATAACTGTAGCATTAAAAGCTTTACTTACTGAAATTATAACCTTGAATCCACAGCCCGGCCGCCAAACGCTCGACAAAACATCGTTCGCGAACCGAGGTAAAAACTATATTTCAGCATTCGCCCGTCACTTTAATCGACACTTCCGACATAAATTCGCGATCATTATGCACTTTTACTATAAGATGACTACGGATAAAAACGCGATTAATCAATCTACATTTCAACGTTCGCACTCTGCGTAACGGTTTTTGCGCGAAAAACGCCACACGTCACAGTGACGTCATGGTCGATAAGGTAATTGCGCGCTCTACCAACTAAAGCCTACATCAGACCACTAAAAATCCACCATACAGAGCACAGCATTTCTAGTAACTTCCTAGATCGCTTGTGAATTTCTGCAATAAGTTGCATAGTCTGATGCAGGATTTAGTGCTGGTACAATTTTAAATGTAGTATTCACAAACTTTACGAAATGTAAATTGTTAAATCGCATATTTTATCCGTAGTAATCGCGTAGTAAAAGAGCATAATAGTTTTGAATTTTTATCGGGAGTGTCGATTAAAAGTGATAGGCGATTGCCGAAATGTACAACTTATCGCAGGTACAATTTTTATTCACGATTAACGTTTCGTCGAGCGTCAGATAGCCGGACCATGAATTCAGGTTAGAATTCCAGTGAGTAAATTTTATGTCACAGATATGCAAAAATGAGCGCTACGTTTGTTCAAGAGAACCGAAATGCAATATACTTCTCATTAGAAAACTGAAATATTGGAAATTCAGCTTCTACGAATTGAATCGAATAAAGCATAGTTGTTATTGTATTGCAGATGTTCGTATTTGGTGATCTCCGTGACCGCCAAAACAATCGTCTATCTCGCTCGTTCCGACTGTGTTTACAGTTTCGAGTAAAATACCGAATGTGTAAGCTTATATTATTGTCTATAATTATATACGTCGCCGTTGCGACTGAGTGTGTCTTTATATCTCGCGTACGCATTTCGTGTATTGCGGAAAATTCGGAATGTGAATCCGTGATTTTTACCTCGAAAATAAATGTGTGAATAGATTTTCATCCAACAGTGTATGTAATTTGTGAGTTGTGTGTTGTGTTTGTGATATGTGAGTTTTCAGTGTTCATCGATTCTTTGATAGGAAGCTGACATGGAACACTAAGATAGAATCTGCAGCGGGCCGAATACTACAATGCCCTAGTTGGTGAGTGCAATTATTTGTTCATAATTTAAGTACATGTATAAATATGTATAACATTCACATACACAATTACAATTATTTGTCGAATACTATTTATTATAAGCTATCTAAAAATATTTATTAAAATATTTATTAAAACATTTATTAAATATTTATTAAAATTGTTAAATAATTATTCACGCAATTTATCGCATATTGCTATGTTTTTGTCAAAGTAAAAATAATTAAATAATGCATAATAATCAACATATACACATACATAAAATGTATGGTAATTCAAAACAATTAAAATATATATTGATTTTTCCAGGTGCAGCTCAAGGCGTACTTAACTAGGGTACAACAACCAGTGAGTAAATTTATTTATTATTCTATTATGTAATTACACAAACTAGCAGACAATAAACCTTTTCTTGTCACTGATATCGGTTACACGCTACATAGAAACGTCAAGCGTGATGTGCAATTCTTTAGAACTGCGATATATGATAAAAATATGGGAAGCGTGTTTGGTGCACGCTTTCATTCGCACGAACGACGGATAAAGCAACATAAAAAATGTAGATAACGGTTCAAGCGTGTCAGAAGCGACTTGCTTAACGACTATCGCCAAAACGAATGACCAAACGCAGGGTTGGAAAGTGAAGTCAGGATGGGGTTAAGGCGGGCGGTAAAGACGGCCACTTCCTTGGCACAAATTATTGTAATTTGCATCGGTTAACTCCGTAATTACTTGGGGTTATAGGTTAAAGGGCCATTAGCGTCTCCTCGCGGCACAATACCGCGCGAAACCGACCCCCGGTTTCTCCCTTCTGTTACCGTAAGCGTAATCAACACCTGCCTCAAAACGGACGCGATCCCACCTGTATGCATATACAGAGTGCCCCGGGCATCGCGCGTACTTTCTCTTGATTACAAATGGGTAGTAAAAGCTGAACTAAGAATATCGTTTGTTTGAGTGACAAGGTTTGACAAGTATTAATAGATGCGGGGTTACAGATTTTAAAAAATTACAAAAAACTGTCAACAATGACAGTACAATGACAGTACAATGACAATACAATGACAGTATAAATAAAATTTTATTCTCTACTTTATTTTTTCTTAAATTTAATTTACAATCATTTTTGCATAATATCAGTTTTAAATTTAATCGTTCAAATATTTACTATACACAAAAATATCAAGTTAAATTAATTAAATTAGAATTAAATAAAATAAAAACGGATTATATGATACATCATTATTAATAAATATTTTAAAAAATTAACACAAAATTTAATTAACAAGATTTTTATTCAAAAAATTATTAATCTGATAAAGTGTTTGTAATTATCATTGACCATATCTAGGACACTCTCTATATGAAATATGCCTGCGAGAAAATAGCGTGAAAAATGTTTCATATGATGAACAAGCAGTCTTTGCGGTCAGTGCAACACAATCTTGTTTTTTTCTCGTTTTTCTCGTTTTACAAAATGATATATCGATAGCCATCGTTAATTGGCTATTCTTTTTGTGTCATGTCTATGCCCTATTGTCTATGCTAAGTGCCCAATTCGCTTCAGAAAATTTGAGGTGTTCCACGAGAATTATGCCTTTGGGTATACCGGAGCGCGTTCGCAAGGCAAAGAATAGGGCGCATAAAATGCCTGGCCGTGTGTATACCGCCCCCGACAGAGAAGCTTTGTGGCCTGGGAAACCTTCTAGCGTAAATCCGGGTTAGGATTTTTCGGACTCACTGTGAGGGGACCGACAGTCACTGTGAAAAAAAACCAGTGAAAAATACTTTGTGATCTAGAAAGGTAGAATCAAGAATTTATTCCGATGATTTGTCCATACTTTGTGCTACATATCTGAATTTTAAATCTTGCAATACCGTCTCTTTAGTTATTTAAAGAAAAATCTACAATTTTACAATAAGTATAGATTTAAAATATAATTTAGGAATTTTTTAGCATATTCTAGAGTTTTGAAAACCTATGGATCATGGACAAAATTACACCCCTGTCGAGCTGGCCCCCAACCTTGCACAAATAAAAAAACCAATTGCTCAAAATTATAAGCTATCTATGAGCTTTCATATTCCGCAAATTAAAATTTTTGAGCTCGTCACGCTGAGCATGAATTTAATGTTTTTCGTCGGGGGGCTGAGTCGATATCGACTCAGCCTCCCCCCGCCGCTTAAAAATAAAAATATTGGATCAATTTTTGCGGTAAAATTAAGAGCTATTTATGAGCTTTTGAACTGATATAGTTTCGATTTTTAAGCTCACCCCCTTAATCCTCAAACAACCCTTAATTGATGGAACTCAAGAGAGAAGTACTAGAAAAAGAAAAAATACATTATATTTCAAACGTAGTATAAAATTCCAAGAATAAACCTTTAAAATATGCGCATTTTGATTATTGAGTTGAAACTCCTTTACAAAAAAACCACCTCTCATCTTCCCGACACAAGAGAGAACTATACTTAAAATGAAAAAAATTAATTATTTTTCAACTAAATATTGTTTATCCATTTATGTGCTCACAAAATACGTGCATTTCCATTATTAAATTGCAACCCCTTTATAAAGAAACCATCCCGCATCTCCCGGCACAAGAGAACTTAAAATTAAAAAAATTAACTATTTCATGACAAAATATCGATATCGAC